GTAAAAGTGGTGGGGTAAGACCCTTTGTCCAGGGTTGGACACACACACCCAGCAGCATGCAGTACCACTCAGGCTCAAAGCCATAAATCACATGACTCACAACCACCTCTTCCGGTATAGTGCGCTTTGCGGCAATGTGCATGCAACAATTACAATATGCGCTGCTTACCCACCAACCTTAATGCTTGGATTTACTCCCTCAAACTGCCGCTTGAGCATTCGCACCTGTCAAAATGGCTGTTTAAGTCTACATACGGGCACTTCCAAAGTCAAAACACACCGAGACCAAAACATGGAACAAGAAGCTACTAGTAGCTATAGAAGCTACTAAGTTACTAGGTGGAGGCCATCGCTATTAGGTTGGAGGCCATCGCTACTAGTTACAAGAAGTTATTAGTGGCTCCTGGCAATACTACTAGATGTTTGTTGTTTCGACTTCACCAGGTCATCCTTGGCAGACCAAACAAATCATTAAAAGGCTGAGCACCAAAAGGATCTGAGGAGGAGCGCAGCCCCTCCTGGTCTTGGAGTACATGACACAACGATTCAACATGAATATTTTCTTGAAACAACACTATGAAACAAACTAAACCGACTGGCCGGGTCACCGTATACACTATATATAATATACAATATGTATACAGTAATATAATTTAATATATTTTTTTTTTATATTATATACTATTCATATATAGTAATATATATACCTACGGACTGAAAGTTAGAATGCCTGGGCGAACTCCAAAACGATATCCGGGTCCACTTAGAATGCGTCCGTTTTGGGGGTGTTAGAATGCCGCGAGCCATTTTGGACATGGCAAGGCTATATTTCATGCACAGGGGCAGGGCGAAGTGCAGATAGAATGCTCCAAAAAGCTTAGACCTGGTTTTAGCACTTTGTCTGCACAGGGAGGGATGAAACAAAGATAGAATGCAAAAACAGCCTGTCAGAGTGTTACACACCTTTAGCCTTTTTGAGCAACCAATATGTATACACATTTGGGATGCTTTTGAGAGATATTTCCTGCACAGGGACGGGGCAAAGCATAGATGGCATGCCCCCAAAAGCTTAAGCGTATCTTTGAGTTGTTTGCTTGATTTGGGTTACCTTGTTTTCTGCATAGGGAGGGGGGTTTCGCAGAGATAGAATGCACACTTTTGCCCGTTTTCAATGCACATACATACAAAACAACAAATACTGAAACTAAAATGTTGTTTCCAGTCCGTGGATATATGGTCTCAA